ATACTAAGACACAAGTACCTATCGTTTGTTTCGGTAATCCTGAAACTCCTCCTCTCTGGGTTTTTTGCTGTGTACCAAGTATTTTGTACATGTCAAAAACTAATTGGCCGCCATGTAGTTTCAAGATGGCGGATGAAACCCCACATCAAAGTTAGAGTGACACTGTATAGGAATACACCAACTTTGTTAAAGAAAAACAAAAATCACAGACAGCTCAGTGGCTCACGCCTGTAATCCCAGCACTTTGGGAAGCTGAGGCAGGAGAATCGCTTGAGGCCAGGAATTCAAGACCAGCTGGGCAACACAGCAAGACCCTGTCTCTACAAAAACTAAGAAAAATTAGCCAGGCATGGTGGCGCACACCTATTGTCCCAGTTACTATGGAGGCTGAGAGGCAGGATGATTGATTGAGTCCAGGAGTGTGAAGCTGCAGTGAGCTATGATCATGCCACTGTACTCCAGCCTGGGTGACAGAAAGACCTTGTCATTTCAAAAAAAAAAAAATCAAGTTTTTTCCTGGACCTATTTTTCCAGGAAGCTAAAGCACCTTGCAAAAACATCTTGAAACTCTTTATTTACCTCTTCTCCAGAAGCTTGTAGATTTTACTCTTATCTTACAGTTGACTAAAATGAGGCTAGAAGTAGGGTCTCCCTCCCCCAAATTCCAATGAAACACACAGAGCGAAGCTCAGTCTCTCCACTATTCACCTTCTATCCAGCACATGCTATTGGAGTAAGGATCTTTTAGGTTGGCTGGGCCCCCAGCCCCTCCTCCCTGGAGAGCTGCCCACCGTCTACCCAGGGGAGCTGTGCCCGTTCATGCTCCAACAACTGAGCCCCAGCTGCATATCCCAGCTTCAATGATGGGTCTCAAACTGAGCAACAATCTCCTTTCCTGCGAATCTGTGGCCCAAAGGGTCCCGCATTCCTAAGGGCCTTGCACTCCGAAGGCCTCCACTCACGTGCTCTGCGGTTGCCGTCTTTAATTCTTAATATTTTTGCCTCTGAATCCAGGTTTTATAGGGAAGTCTGAAGGAACAACAGAGCATGCACCAGGGTCTGGAGCCTCCACTCACTTGTGGTCTTGTTTGCTGCCACATCCCGGGAAGGGTTTTCAGGCACCCACTCCTCTGCCCTGCTGCCTGGGCCCCACCACTCATGTCACCCTACTCTAGGGGATAGGGTCATATTGGTAGGGGCCTAGGTGCTGCTGCAGGGAGAGGTGGGGTTGGGCACACACCCTGCAGCATATTGGGGAGAGGCATGGTGACAGTCACCCTGTACTCCCTGGACTGGCAGCACTGTGGTGCACTACTTGCTGGTGACCCAACAGGGGCTTCCACCACCCTCAGTCTACGTACCAAGACTGGCCCAGTGTAGTGGCTGCAATCTCTTGGGGTTTCCTTCCCACCACAGGTCGCAGTGGCGGGCCTGTGGGAAGGGAAGAGTGACACCCCCAGCCCAGCAGGTGACCACATTTGCATTCTGTACTGGGCCCTGCAAATTATGAAGCCCACCCTGTCTGCTGGTCACTTCATCTGAGGACATGCCAAACTGACATCTGTGAGGCTGAGGCCTGCTCAAATCGTGGGAGGGGGAAGAAAAGAAAACCAGCCTGGACTTGCATTGTTTGCCTTTCTAAGTGCCTGTTCTTCCTGGACCTCATCTCAAAGTATCCCCATCCTCTGACAAATGCCTGACTCCAGAAGGATCTGAGTAAATGCTTGCAGCTAAGCAGGGGTGATGGGGCTGCATGGGAACAGAGCTGGAGGAGACCTGACTTTTCTCTCGTCCCACTCCCTGCCCGATGGCACCAACCCCCCCACCTCCCCAGCCCGAAGGCTTCAAGCCAAAAAATTACATTAAACAGTAGCCACCTAGGAAATGACTTGGGACTTGGACCTGGGCCCATTGGTACTTAATGCATCCTCCCCGACCCTGTAAATGAACTTAGGCGTGCAATAAATAGCACTTTAACGAAGTGGCAGAGGAATCTGGAAGCGAAAAAACCCCAGCTAACATATCTGTTTTTTTTTTTAAGGCATAGAAAAATGGGCTGCAAACAGAAAAATGAGGCTTAGCTAGGAAGAACGCAAACAAGGATGTCTGGGGAAAGGCATCCCAAACCACCCTGTCTTTAGAGGGTAGGAAAGACCCAGCTCATCCTGGAAGGAGGATTGGAGAAGGTGGGCAGAGTGGAGGACGGGGTGGGCATTTGCAGTGTGGGGCCTGCCGATGGCATATGCCTCCTGACAAGCAGGCGCCTCCCCTACCCAGACAGAGGGACCCAGAGAAAACTGGTCACCAAGAAGGCTAGATGCTAACCTCATCTTCCCAGCGGGAAGAACTTTCCACACAGTTCTGTAAACGCTAAGGCTGCTAACCACCGTCATGTCTAATGCTTTAGCAGTAATGATTATAACGACAGTAAGAATGTCAGTAGAATCCGTTATTGGTTTTTACTGTGTCAGCTACTGTCTTAGACTCTTTTCATGCATTGTCACATTTTATCTTTGCCACAAATCTATCCCCTTTTTATAAACGAAGAAATTGAGGTTCAGAGAAACAACTAGCAAATGTGAGACCAGAATTTGCACCCAAGTTGTTCTGAATCCAAAACGCATATCTTTCCCCTATTACATTCCTCTGGTCTTCTTTGGCACTAATAATAAAAATACTAAGACACAAGTACCTATCGTTTGTTTCGGTAATCCTGAAACTCCTCCTCTCTGGGTTTTTTGCTGTGTACCAAGTATTTTGTACATGTCATCTCACTTAGTAAGCTCCTCAACCTTATGAAGTAGCTACCATGATTACAACTAGATTATTACTAAGAAAGGCTCAGAGAGGTTAAGTACTAAGCCTGAGGTCACATAGCTAATAAGTGTTCTAGCAAGGATTAGAACTCAGACCTACCCAGCCAAAAAGCTGGTTGCCTTTAGCCACCATGCTCTCCTGCCCTAGAGAGGTTTCTTATGTCCCTGTCCACAAGAGAAAGGAGATGGGATCCATTTCAGGTTCAGATACTGAGGGCAGCTGTCTTGGCAATCTCAGGCCAGGTAACTAGGTTCTACCACAGGCTTCCATCCAGCTGGACCTTCCTCTCCACTGTCCACATTCAATGTCCAGCATGGGGAACACCTGGCTCCCAGGCGGATTCCACTCCCAAATGAGATACTCTCTCCTACCCCAGAGGGATAGCAGCTCTGCCTACCAAGACCCTGTGTTAACTCCAATTTCACTCCAGGTATTTGTTTCCAGTAATATCAATGTCTTCGAAGGTTCCTGTTGTTGGTGTGAGCCCAGGGATGAAAATCATGGGCCACCTCCACCTTTTTTTCCTCTGTGACTCTGGAAGGCCAGCCAACACCTCTAATGATGTCTACATCTCTTGTGAACCTGGATACCTTCCTACATACGCAACAAAAAGTCTG